ACAAGTTAGTTACCAAGTTTTATGATGCCATCATCTTTATTGCCTATAGAAGAGGGAATATTCATGTTAATGGCTCTGACTTTTGGGAAAGACTGGATTGCTAAGGATTATTTTAGAAATGAGAAAGAAAATTTTCAAATACCTTTAGACATTAAAAATTTGAGATAGTACATAATATGTATTAAGTTCATAGTGCTATTTTGGGCCTCTTCTACCTTAGGGTATATAGACTACACTTTTGGAAGAATTAAATAAGAAGAGATTTTGGTCTTTTAAGTTACTATGGAAAAATTCAAATCACATATCCATAAAGGATTAACTACTATGGGAATTGCTGTCCTGCTGCCAACAACTAGAACAACAGACAAAATGTATAAAATAATTGTTTTTAGACATTGAACAATAAGGATAAGAGTGATCTCTGAGAGAAGAAAAACAAATTGGATTGACCCTATATTGCCTCAGCTCACATCCTGAGGCTTTCTAAATTCTGAACCACAAGACCAGGCTAGAGTAACTTCCAATAACAATTACCAGAAAATGTAAAATGAATACTTCTTAGTATTCTGGCTCATACAGGACCAGAAATCATTTGACTTCCCTCCAGCCAAAGAAGAGACATCACTAAACATATGAACATTCAGTGTAGACTCCCAGAAGAACCATTGTTGTGCCCGAATCGCGAGTTCCCAGAGACCTCCAAGGAGTGACACCGATACAAGTACATAAGGGTCTTTATTACAAGCTCAAGCAGGGGCTCACCCATCTACTGGTGCAGTGGCAGCAAGGTGAAGCCCCAAACAATGGTGAGCAGGGTTTTTATGGGGTAAGGGACGGGGATGTTACAGTGCACACGTATAGTATACATGCAAGCCAAAAGACCTAAGTTCTTTAGAGTGCTAAAAGGAAGAAGAAATATGGCTACCTAGAATTTTTTAAACATCAAAGTGTTCTTCAAAAATGAAGGTTAGGGGAGGGGCGTCTGGGTGGCTCAGTCAGTTAAAGTCTGTCTTAGGCTCAGGTCACGATCTCACAGTTCGTGGGTTCGAGCCCTTCATCAGGCTCTGTGCTGACAGGTCAGAGCCTGGAACCTGTCTTCAGATTCTGTATCTCCCTTTCTCTGACCTTCTCCTGTTCACGCTGTCTCTCTCTCTTTCTCTCTGAAAAAGAAAAAAGAAAACATTAAGAAAAAATAAAGATTGGGGGACCTACATGTCTCAGTTGGTTGAGTGTCTGACCTTAGCTCAGGTCATGATCTCATGGTTCGTGGATTCAAGCCCCATGTTGGGCTCTGTGCAGACAGCTCATAGCCTGGAGCCTGCTTCAAATTCTGTGTCTCTCTCTCTCTCTCTGCCACTCCCCTGCTTGTTCTCTCTCTCAAATAAAAGAATAATTTTTTTAATGAAGTAAAATACACTTTTTTAGACTTCTCAAAGTTGGGAGAATATACTGTCAACACATCTGTCCGACAAGAAATGTTTAAGGAGGCTTTTCAGGCAAAAAGAAAATGATGCTAAATAGAAATTTAGGTTTATACAAAATGAATGAGAAACACCAGAGGGTAACTATATGTGTGAATATAAAAGGTATTTCCTCATTTTAAGATTTCTTTAGGGGAAAAAATAGATACAAACAGAGAGGGAGGGAGGCAAACCACAAGAGACTATTAACTATAGAGAACAAACTAAGGGTGGGTGGGGAGTGGGGGGAGAGGGAAAATGGGAGATGGGCATTGAGGAGGGCACTTGTTGGGATGAGCACTGGGTGTTGTATGTAAGCCAATTTGACAATAAATTATATTCCTAAAAAATACTTATTTAAAGTATAATTAGTTGTCAAGGTAAAAATAATATATGGTTTATAGCATGTAGTAATAAAATGTATGAGGACAGTAGTACAAAGCAAGGGGAATGGAAGTGTATTGGTCTGAGATACTCTACATTATACTTAAAGTGATATATTATGTAAATGTCATCTGCATTAGGTTAAAGATGTATACTGTAAACCCATGAGCAAGGTTCAGGAAACTCAATAGTCCAAATCCAAGCTACTGCATATTTTTATAAATAAAGTTTATTGGAACACAGCTATACCCATTTGTTTACATACTGCCAGTGGCTGCTTCTGCCCCACAGTGCTGTCTGTAGTTGCAACAGAGATCTTTATTGTCCACAAAGTCTAAAATATTTAATATCTAGCCCTTTACAGAAAAAGTTTGTCAACACCTACTGTAGGGAAACCCCTAAAACCATAAAAAGGCATAGTTAATGAGCCAATAGTAGAGATTAAATATAATCATAAAAATAATTAATATAGGGCACCTCGGTGGCTCAGTCTATTAAGCATCTGACGTTGGCTCAGGTCATGATCTCATGGTTCATGAGTTTGAGCCCCGCGTCAGACTCTCTGCTGTCAGCACAAAGCCTGCTTCAGATCCTCTGTCCCCCTCTCCCTACACCTACTCACTCACACGCTCTCCTTCTCTTTTTCTCTCTCTCTCAAAAATAAATACACATTAAAAAATTAGTTAATCTAGGGGCACCTGTGTGGCTTTGTCAGTTGAGCATCCAACTCAATTTTGGCTCAAGTCATGATCCCAGGGACCTAGGATTGAGCCCTGAGGCCATTTCCATGGTGAGCATGGAGCTTGCTTGGGATTCGCTCTCTCCCTGCCATACCGTCCTCACCCCCGTGCCTCTCCCCTACTAGTGCTCTCTCTCTCTAAAATAAAAAATATATGTAAAGATTTTTTTAAAGGGTGCCTTATTAAGAAAATAGTTAATCTAAAAGAGGGCAAGAATAAAGAAAAAGAGGAAAGAACAGTTTGGGCCAATAAAATAAGTAGCAAGACTTATACACAAATAGATTTACTTACAACTATATTTATAATTTATTAAATGTAAATAATATACACACTTTAATTAAAAGGCTGAAATTGTCAGATTAGATAAAGTAGCAAGACTGTTGTCTTTAGAAAATCCTCTTTAAATATAAAGACACGGAGGGACACCTGGGTGGCTCAATCAGTATGTATCAAGCAGTGTCCTAAGTGTTTTAAATGGTTTATTTTATTTGTTCCTCCCAACAATTCCATCAGTTAGGGATTAAATCAGTGTTATAGATCAAGAAAGTAAGGCTCAGAGAAGTTTTGTAATATGCCCAAAGTTATAAAGTCAGGATTCTATCCCAAATTTGCTTCCGAAGCCTGTTTTTCTTCACAGGCTAGTGCTAACTCATCTTTAAATGCTTGGTTGCTTATGTAAAAAATTCTGTTTCCAAATGTATTTATTTATAAATTTCATTTGAAAAGTATTTCAAAAGAATTAGTCTGACATTTGTTTTAGTGACTAGGGCTCCATAAATCAAGACTATTGACGAAAAAGATAAGAAAATTGGATCCATTTAATAGCCTATGATAATGTTTCCCTTAAGAACATTTTAGAAAATCCCAAGTAGTTGAGTTGTGGCTTCTAGCTAACCTCAGGTCACATGTTTAAGAGAACATAAAAAGAATTTTTGATTATATCATAATATGTTCATATTATATAAGAGAATACTTATCAAGCACCTTAGGTAGAATAATTATACCATAAATTTGAAGTGACTTTCCTTGAGTAAGAGTCTCACTTAGTGTATTTTCACATATTATTCTCCAGGGATTCTTTTTTTTTTTTTTTTTTTTTACAAATAGTTTATTGTCAAATTAGTTTCCTCATAACACTCAGTGCTCATCCCCACAAGTGTCCTCCTCCATGCCCCTCCCCATCCCCCCCACATCCATCAGTCCTCAGTTTTTGTCAGCATTCAAGAGTCTCTCATGGTTTGCCTCTCGCCCTTTCCCCCACCATTTCCGCCCTTCTTCTCCCCCTTGTTCCTCCGTCAAGTTCCTCCTAATCCTCCTATACGTGCAAACATATGATATTTCCTTCCTTCCCCTGTCCTTCACTCAAGGTCAGGTTAGAACCATGATCTCTTGGCTCCCTTGAATCCCACCCCAATTTCCCTCCTAGCTTGCTTCTCATGGGACCTGGACTAACACCCATACCTACTGGATGAAACCTGCCCACCTTTTCACCAAGCAGCTATTGCTTAAGTTGGATAATGAGCTGATAGCACAACAGTCTTATCTTATAAGGCTGACAAGCCTCAAATCTCCCAGAAATTAATCAAATTTTCAGGCCTTTTGAAGAGACCTTTCTAGTTTTTGCTGTTCCTGCAGATAATTATCTTAAATTTTTGTTCATTTCTTTGTTCAGTTCAGTGTGATATTGTGAGGCAGAAGTAGGTAACAGCATTTGGGGAGGAAAAAAGAAGTAATAGCATGTTGGAATGGAATATACCTCTTTTAAGTCTTTAACATTAGTTCTAGAAATAAGTTAAACCTTGTTCAGTTTTAACAGTCTCTCTTCCTATCTTACAATAGCTATTTTTCACACATNATGAACATTGGGGTACATGTGCTCCTATGCCTCAGCATTTCTGTATCCCTTGGGTAAATTCCTAGCAGTGCTATTGCTGGGTCATAGGGGAGTTCTAGTGTTAGTTTCCTGAGGAAACTCCACACTGTTTTCCAGAGAGGTATTCTCCAGGGATTCTTGAAAGCTGTGGCTCCTCAGAGCCACCTCCTAAAGGTAATGGAGACTGGCCCAGCAATCTCTGGCTACTTAGTAAAATCTTCCTGTGTAGAACTAGGGTTTATATACACCAGTACCAAAATCTTTACCTCAAATTCCTGGGAAAGCCTCTCCCTGACTTCTTAGAAATACTCCTTTGCATGTTTTCTTTTCTCTGAAAAGTGAATTGTGTGATCCATATGATTGATCTTCTATAAGCCAGTTCCCAGAATAACCTCCAACTAAAGCTAAAGGGCATATTCTTAAACCTTTGAAAACATTTTAAACCATGTTAATAATAATAGACCCTGTGTAAGAATAGTAATAATGTAGCTTTAACTCCTAATGAAATCTAATTATTTTATGATTATGATCTTTTTCATTCAGATGTGACAGTGGTGTATCAAAATGGGCTACCTGTGATATCTGTGAGGCTACCATCCCGGCGTGAACGCTGCCAATTCACACTCAAACCTATTTCAGACTCTGTCGGTGTGTTTTTACGACAACTACAAGAAGAGGATCGGGGAATTGACAGAGTTGCAATCTATTCACCAGGTATAGTCATATTCATTATTAATTCTCACCCACCCCTCATTTCACCTCAGAACACTGCTACACACATGTGCACGTGTGCACTCATGCACACACACACCACTGCAAAAGAATCCCATACTCTTAACTTTAGGACACATTTTTTGGCTTAGCAAATGTCAGGAAATACTGTGATTTCTCTCCCAGTTCTCAGAATATAAGTGTTCAGTTTTAGGAACTGAATATACACAAAAAGTCTCATTCAGAAGCACCTCACATACAATGCCACGGGCAAGGAGGAGCAGTCAGTCACATTTTATGTTATTGAAACCTTTTATCATTACCTTAGGCATAAAATCAATTTTTCTAGTGGGTGGGCCCTCCTCTCTGGAGATATGAAATCATAGGACTTCTTTTTACATCTTATTCTGTCTTTCACATAGTTTATAAAATAAAGACATATCCAGCTGGGAAAGAATATAAAAATAAGGCACTAAAAAATCCCCATTTGGCATGACATCTGTCCTATTTATTGATTTAAGCGCCTTATATTTTTTCCCATTTGAAAAATTTTAAACCTACAAAAAGCATAAAAGACTATATTGGAACTACCCATTTGTCCTTGGATATACCAGTTGTTAACAACTTGCCACATTTCTATGCTTTAAGTAGTTTAAATATACTTAATTTTCGTCTTACCTAGTAATATAATTAGTAGACCAGTATGGTGTACTTCGCCCTGAAATCTGTCCCTACGAAATTATTGGTGACCAATCAGTAATTATACTGAGAAGTATCATACACTAGAAAGCATTGTTTTTTTTACTCCACCAACTTCCATCATGGATAGATATATGACATCCATGCAGCCCTCCCATGACCCAAGATTTCCAACTGACACACATAGGTCTTTGTAATTATTTTACTTGTTGATAAAGTTGTGGCAGAAAAGTGTATTCTTAAATCTTCATAGACTTGAGATCATGAAGGCATGAAAGCAAAAAGCCTCAGATAATATAAGCTTTGTTTAGCATAGAATTTGGGGATGAGGCAAAAATGAACTAGAATTTAAAAGAGAAGTTATAATTTCTAAAATTAATTTTGAGGGTTGCTTTTTCCTGATCATTCTCAAATAATTATGGATAAATGACGAATTTAAATTTTCACATTTAAAATTTTCACAGATGGCGTTCGAGTTGCTGCCTCAACAGGAATAGACCTCCTACTTCTTGATGACTTTAAGCTGGTCATTAATGACTTAACGTATCATGTACGACCACCAAAGAGAGGTAAAAAGTAACCTTGACAAGGTCAGAGAAATGTAGAAGGGCTTTTTTTTTTTTTTTTTTTTAATATTTTTTTTTTTTTTTTTGAGAGCTAGGGAGAGAGAGACAGCGTGAGCAGGGGAGGGTCAGAGAGAGAGGGAGAAATAGGCTCCAGGCTCTGAGCTGGCAGTCAGCACAGAGCCCAACGCGGGGCTCGAACCCACGAACCGCGAGATAATGACCTAAGCGAAAGTCAGACGCTTAACCGACTAAGCCACCCAGGCGCCCCTAGAAGGGCTTTTAAAAGGAAAGAACTTTAGGGGCACGTGGGTGGCTCAGTTGGTTAGGCAGCCGACTTTGGCTCAGGTCATGATCTCGCAGTTCATGAGTTCGAGCCCCGCATCAGGCTCTGTGCTGACAGCTCAGAGCCTTGAGCTTGCTTCCAATCCTGTGTCTCCTTCTCTCTCTGCACCTCCTCTGCTCACACTCTGTCTGTCTCTCAAAAATAAATAAACATTAACAAATTAAAAAAAAAAAAAAAAGGAAAGAACTTTATTCTTGCCTGGATGACCTTGAGAAGCAGACAGTGTTCAGAGAACACTGGAAAGTCTTACAGCCAGGTAGACTCTGTTTCAAAGAGCTCATTAAATGCCTCATGCTTGAGTACCTGGCTAGTCCCCTGATGAAAACGTAGATTCTCCTTAGCCACCAGAATGTGTTTATTATAGGATATTGTCACTCTGTTTCACATAAATGCATGTTCTACGTAACTTAAGCTCCTTCCCTCCAAACAGGCTAAAAGCCATATTATTTTTAATAACATCACAGGGGGAATCTTTTTCGAAATAAATTATGGACTTCCCTGTACTCTTAAACATTATAACAGGAATGAATTAATCTTTTCTTTTCTTTCTTTTTTTTCTTTTTTTTAATGCCTCAGAGTCAGCAGTGTGAAAGTTAATTATTGCTTTTATATAAAAAGTGTGGTATTTGCCTCAGGTGCAGATTTTAAGAAGGTGTCCTCCCTCCAAAACCCTCAGTAACCAAGATAAATAATACTTTAATGAACTGTTTTAAAAAATCAAAGTTAATGCCAAACCCCATGATGAACAAAATATCAAAAATTTAAATAAAGCAATCAGTATTAGTGATTTTCCTTTCTACCCCAGACTCCCACTATGACTTCTGGACGATGCTGATGCTAAATAGCCCTCTAAAATAGCATTTCATATGTGTCTTTTTGGTCACTTTTCTTTCTCTGCCCTTAATCTTTATAATTACTGATGTTGTTAATGCCCCTTCCTTCACCACCATCCCCTCCACCAGCCTACTAGGGCATCCCTTCTTTTTAATTTTGCTTTTGAGAATTGTGTCTAATGTCAAAAATATTCTCAGGGAAAGCCTAAACATTGAATGCCTCCAAAATCTGGTCCACATCTACTTTAAAAGTTTTCCTCTCTCTCTTTTAACATGTTACCTACTTTTCTTCCACCTTCTAATCCTTTGCTCTTTCCTGAATGGTGCCGTTTTTTGCCATTTCAGTGTGTGCTGTCTCTAAGGTGCCTTTTTTCTTTCTTCCTAACCTCATTTCCCCGTGTCAAAATCACCAAGGTCAGCTCTTCCATGAAAGCTTTAATGATCCTTTTCTTTCTGTTCTTTATTTCTCTAACTCTCAGCCAACAGGAAGTGACTAATCTGTTCTCTGAACTCTTCTTATGACTCTTTATTAATGCTCAGACAGAAGGCACTGTGATTTTGTCTCCTCCATTGACTCAGGTGGCCATACTATGTTGAGTGAAATAAATGAGTTAAGTTGGTAGCATTTTGGTTGTTCAGAAGCCAGATTATTTTCTGTGTGCAAGCTAGCTGAAATGGAACTAGTTTAGAAAAAGTATAGTGAATACAGCAAGAGTGGGAAAAGTTTCCTTTAAATAGTAAGACATTACTAAACCAGACTTTATTACACTGGAATAATTGAACATATAGACTAGGGATTGTCAGCTATATATTAGCCAAGCTAATATGTTTTTCTTCTTTATTCCCTGATTTTTGGACTAGAATTTCTCCTTCAGAAGACAGAGGTACAGGCTTATTTTACTCACTTTTTTGTTGTTCTTTAAATTTGCTTTTTCTTTTCTAGCCTTATTAGCATAAGATCGACATATAGCTTTATAAGCTTAAGGGATCCAGTGTGATGATTTGATACACTTAAATGTTATAAAATGATTACTGCAATAGGATTAGTTAACACCTCCATCACCTCACATAATTTGTGTGTGTGTGTGCGCACATGTGACAACACTTAAGGTCTGCTTTCTCAGCAAATTTCTAGTATATAACATAGTATTGTTAACTAGAGTCACCATGGTGTGCAACAGATCCCCAGATTTTACTCATCTACCAATTGGAATTTTGGTACCTTTGACTGATGTAGAGTACTATATGATCCAGCAATCCCACTTTTGGGTATGTAACTAAAGGAAATAAAATCAGGATCTCACAGAGATATCTGCACTTGCATATTCACTGCAGCACTATTCATTTTAGTGAAGATGCAGAAATAACCTGATGGTCTGACTACAGATGAATGATTAAGAAGATGTGGTATATACATACAATGGAATATTATTCAGCTGTGAAAAAGAAGGAAACAATTTGGGTAGATCTTGAGAGCATTATAGTAAGGAGTATTTTGATGAGATATGAGAGCTCATTCTATTTAGATTTTCTATTTTATATTAGTAAAATTTTAAAAGTTGACTAATATATCCTTATGTAAAGTATAATAGGCAGGAAAGTAAGCTTCCATATATTATGTTGTCAAAAACTAGAGGCTTTTAATCAGTGACCAATTCTAACCATCTTATCTAATGCTGTTTTTAAAGTAGAAATGAGGGGTGCCTGAGTGGCTCATTCCGATAAGCATCTGTCTCTTGATCTCAGCTCAGGTCATGATCTCACATTGGGGATTGAGCCCCATTGAGCAGGCACTGACAGCACAGCGCCTGCTTGGGATTCTCTCTCTTCCTCTTTCTGCCCCTCCCCTGCTCACACTCGCTCTCTCTTTCCCTCTCTCAAAATAAATACACTTTAAAAAATAAAGCAGAAATGAATGTTTTAGTGTTTTATTAGATTGAGCTGTTCCCAAGTTGAATAAGGGAGAGTAAAGGTAGAAACTGAAAGGGGGAGAAATTATATTTAATTCTCTGGGAATCAATTCATCAGTCTACCCAGCTTCCTTAGATGTCAGTTCGAAAATGAAGTTTGCAAGAGTCAAAAGTCTATGATTCATGGAATAATTGTAGATTAAAGTGAAATTCAGTAAGCTCAATAGCAGCACTGGTGTAGAACTTTAAAAGATCTTTTCAATATTTAAAATATTTTTATGCATCAACACTCCCTAACCTCTGTTCTTAGCCAATGAAAGAGCTTGCCATTAGATACCATTTCACACAGGAGCTTGAATAATACTGTTTTAAGTCCATAAACTCTTTTTCCCAAACTTTTAAAACAGTAAAAATCAAAAACACAATAAGCAAGTGTTGGCAAAGTTGTGGAGAAAAAGGAGCCCTCTTGCACTGTTGGTGGGAATGCAAACTGGTGCAGCCACTGTGGAAAAGAGGATGCAGGTTCCTCAAAACGTTAAAAATAGAACTACTCTCTAGCTAGTAATTGAGCTACTGGGTATTTACCCAAAAAAATATGAAAGCACTAATTCAGAGGAATATATACACCTCTCTATACATAGCAGCATTATTTACAATAGCCAAACTATGGAAGTAGCCCAAGTGTCCATCAATAGATGAATGGATAAAAAAGATGTATATATGTATGTATGTATGTATATGTATATATATGTGTGTATATATATGTGTATGTGTGCATGTATATATATGTGTGCACACACACTAGAATATTATTCAGCCATAAAAAAGAAATGAAACCTTGCCATTTGCAATGATGCAGATGGAGCTAGAGAGTATTATGCTAAGTGAAATAAGTCAGTCAAAGACAGACACATACCATATGATATCACCCATATGTGGAACTTAAGAAATAAGACAAAAAAGAGAGACAAACCAGGAAAAAGACTCTTAACTATAGAGAGCAAACTGATGATTACCAGAGGGGAGAGGTGGAGAGATGGGTTAAATAGATGATGGGGATTAAGGAGGGCACTCACTTGTGATGAGCACCGAGTGATGTATGGAATTGTTGAATCACTATATTGTACATCTGAAACTAATATAATACTATATTTTAAATATATTGGAGTTATAAGTTTTAAAAAGATCTTAAGAAAACATAGTAAAGAAACTCTTTTTTTTCTTTTGATGATATATAAAATAGGTTTTAATTTTGTTTCCATCATATTATCTTCCTCTCCCTGCTTGAGGAAGATATTGCTGGCATCCAAGTCACCACTCATTTTCAGCTGCATCAAGTAAAGAGCAATTTGAATTTCTGTATTTGAGAAGATTAGCTATCATCCACATGAGATATTCCTCTTCCCCACGTTGGAACCCTTTTTATTAAAAAGGCTAAACAGAAAAGAAATCGCAAGTACTAGGGCTTAGGTGTCAGACAATGAGGAGGAACACAAGGATTTTATATACACAGGGAGCAGATGGAACAGATCTAATAAAAGTTAAAAGAAGGAATGAAGAAAGACTTTTCCAGGATACTTTTTTAACTGTTGAAACTATTTTTTTCTACTCACCCCCTAACTTTTACATTTCTCTCCTATTTTTCTATTCCCTGTTGATGGAAAGCACTTTAGAACTAAAAATGCTGTATGAATGTTGTGTACCAGTAAACCTGAACTTCACACACTTCCATCAGGCACTGAGGATAGAGGGCGTATTGATAGAGGATCTCATAAAGGCCCATTTAACATGAATGTGGGTTGACAGTCTGTAAGTATTATGGATACTTAAATATGGAGTCTAACCCCAAATGCGCAAGGGAAGAGGCAGAAAAAAACCGAAACTGAACCAAGGGGGCAGGTCACAGCAGTAAGGCTC